ACTGGGCTGGGCTGGGCAGGAGGCGGCGCGCGCCCTCCCGCAGCCGCGGGGCTCAGCTAGAGAAGCCTGAGGAGGGGGCGGAGGAAAAGTTCCCGTGACGTCAGGGTCCCGGGGAAGTGGGCAGGAGGGGCGGGGCCCCGGGGGGAGAACCAACCGCTGATTGGTGCGCGCTCCCCATTCACACCGAGCACAATGGGCTGCGGGCGCGCGCACCACGCTTCTCTGCACCCGCCTCTGGCTGCTCCCCGCCGTTATACCTTTGGCTCCGGGGATCCCCCCCCAACAGCCCCGGGTCTAGGGACCTCCGGATGGAGCCGTGAGCACCACCCGGGCCCGGCTGCACCCGGAGGAAGGGAGGATAGGGAGGGTGATGAGTCCCCGAATCAGTCATTCACCCCCACGCGATAGTTCCGGGGAAGACCTGTGCGTGGTAGTGGATGTGGCTTTTTTTTTTTTTTCCTTTTCCTGCCCCCTCCCAGCTCTAATCCCCAGCGTCTGTTCGCTTCCACAAATAGAACCTTCTGTTGGGTGAAATAAAAGCAAACACTGGGCCTTCTGCGCTGCCTCCACCTCCACGCCCCTCCCGCGCCTGCCGCCTGCCCGGATTGCACGGAAATAGCTTCTCCGGGCTCCCTGGCCGCCCCTTCGCGGTGACTCGCAGAAAGAGCTTCCTGAGCCGGGGCCGGTGGGAAACAAAGGATGTGGGGAGCAAGCGGAAGGGGCCCACGTGGCCGCCGCCGGATTCCTGCCCCCTCCCCGGCCTCCGCAGTCTGGTCTGGGGCCAGGGGCGGCCCTGGTGCCAGCCCTGGTGCCAACCCCGGTTCTGTGGTGGGTAGGAGAGTGGAAGTCTTTCTGGTCACCGACAATGATGCTACCTACACAGGGGCAGCCCTGCCAGGTCGTGTGCTTGCATTTGTGCAGTGTGATTTGGGTTAGCGCGAAATGCATGCGAAACCCAGCACAAAACTCCATGAAAAAAAAAAGAATTAGAATCTGTCGTTTTCTTTCATGAGAGAAGCAAGTCGATTTGGAGTCCCTGGACACCCAACTCTAATCAGAGTCCCTGCGCTTCCGCTGAATACTTAATTTTCTAAAACCAGGTCAGGTCCCAAGGATAAATTCTTTTCCATTCATTCAACAAACACTACTTAAGCATCTACTAAGGGCTAGCTGCTGGGGATTAGGAGATGAAAATTAAAATAACACCAATAGCTAACATTAATTGAGGTCCATAATGTGTCAGGCACTGTTCTTAGCACTTTACCCATTAATTACTGCACTTCAGTTTTACAGCCCCTGCGTGGGAGAAGCCTGCAAAGACTAAGCCACTTGCCGTGGTCAGTTCACTAGTAAATGGTGGCTTAGTCAAGCTTTTAAGCACTCGTAGGGACTTAAAGGAGAGATTACAATTTGTGGAGAGAAGAGAGGAGTTAGGGAGGACTCTGTCTAGAAGACATTCGACGTGGGGGATGTGTGGGATGGTGAGATTGTTGCTCAAGGGGAAGGTATAAACGGTAGGTGGCCAGGCCAGACCAAGGACATGGGGAAAGGCAGGGTTGGCTCAAAGAGGCTAGGGTGGCTGCAAGGGTGGCAGGGAGCCAAGCCTGCTCAGGTCTTTTGGGAAAACATAAAAGGCTCCAATGCCATGATGAGAAGGTTACACTTGGTCCTGTGGCCAGGAGAGAACCAACCTGAGGTTTCCAGTCTTTCAAGTTTATTTGGGGCCAGTATTCAAGATCCACTGAGCTGCCAGCTTCACACCCACACTTAGAAGGCAAACTCAGCGTGGTCCATCTGAATCTTCCTCCAAGGTGTGCACCTCCTTCACTGCCTCTTCTGATGCCCCATCACCACCGCCACCAGCAGCAACCCCTGGGGCCAGAACCCCTGACAGTCATTGCTTCTTGAATCTGCCTTTTTCCTGTCCCCCACAGCCAATGGATCACTGGGCCCTTCCCAGACCTGTTTGCTCTCAGAGCCATCCCCTGCCCTTCCTGCTTAGCTCCCTAGGGCTGCCTCTTGTACACTCTGTGTCTCATGTTCCCTTGCTCACTGGCTTCCAACCCAGTTTGCCCAGAGGGAGGCACTGGAGGGAGATGGGAAGGTGGGAGGAGGTGGAGGGTAACAGCTACTTCTTCCTTTCTCAGTCTGCTTCAGGCACTGGCTGCACCTCCTTTGTGACTCCAGACACCCTAGACAGCCCCTTTGTAAGGCTCTTGACATGTGCTGCCAGATCCCCCTCCGGAACAGAGGGAGTCAGTCCCTCCCACTGCTGGGGTGCCTTTGGGAGCCCTTTTTGGAAACCGCCCTGACCGAGAAGAGCTACCTTGTCCATGGTCACGCTCCCTTCCCAGGAGGTCCAGATCCGATGACTGGTGATTGTGGGAGTATAAATGTCTGGCCTCGCCCCAACTTGGGCCGACTCTGAGGGGCATCCCAGCGCCAGACCGCCCATTCCAGGCCTACCTCGAGATCGCCACTAGCCCAGCTTTTCTCCCCGTTCAATCCTGTTCCTTCCCTTCCCTTTCCTGCACCCTAATATCCTTTCCCTCTTCATGGTCCTGGCTCACTCTAGACACTCTGGCTCCTGGGGTCAAGTGACACCACTTTCGCCTCTCCAGCTTTGGGATGGCAGCGGCTCAACGTCGTTAATCTCTGGTGCACCCCCCCACCCCCATCC